ACTTTGTATTCTAGTAACGCAATGGAGATAAATTAAGATACTTAACGTTTTGTCTAATTTTGTCAAAATTATGCAGTTTATTTCATAATAAAGTTTTATATCGTTTTATTTTCAAAAACCACTTTGGAAATACACTCTGTCACAAAAAGATACATGCACCCAGAAGGTTACAAATCATACAAATCAGTAAGTTACAAAAATGTTACAAATCAGTAAGTAGTATAGTCACCTCTGGCAACTATACAAGCCGAAACACGGCGTGGCATCGGGTCAAGTAGGTTATCTGTGATTACCTGCGGAAGATCATGCCATAATCTTTGCAACTGGAGAATATCTTTGCCATAATCTTTGCAACTGGAATATCGGAGAGTTAATTCTCCGATATTCCGTGACGGCTGCAGTTGACTTCCAAGTATGTCCCAAACATACTCTATTGCCGAGAAGTCTGGTGACCTGGCAGGGCACAGGAGTACGTCATACCCTTGAAGACGTTCTTGAGAAAGTCGCGCAGTATGTGGATGAAAAAAAATTTTATTGAATTATTTATTATTTATTTTTTATTATTATTTATTATTTATTTTTTATTGAATAGCTTTTCTCGTTATGTAGGAAATTAAAAGGAAGCAGGTTTTGAATTTTTAGAAAACGTGACTGGAGTGAAAAATAAGCTATTTTTTCACCTTCTTGAACTTGTTCTGTAATTAACTTTTCATACATTTAGTAATTTCGTAACTAATATTTTCATTTTTCTGCAGTTTAGTTTTATATTATTTACCTTAATTTGAAATTAGCAATCATTACTTCATTACTTTAAATCTTTAGGATAAGAGTAATGAAATAATAATCGTATCTTTAATATCAACTCAAATATTTCAACCAAATTGTTCATTCAAATTTTAAATTGTTAATAAAAACATATTTTACATATTAGATACATAGTACATCTCAATATTTTCATCACATTTGAATTCTAAGGCTATCATAATTATCTGATATTGAATTTTTAAATACGACAAATATATGACAAATATATGAATATAATAAGACAAATATATGAATATTATTCTTTTTTCATAACATGATTTCTGTTGAAGAGTAATCAGAATTTAATTTTGAAGAATTTTATAACTGACGGACTTATTTTTCTTTGCTTAAATTTGAAACAGTTTTAAACAATAGGATTTTCCTTTCTTCTAAGAATATTCAAAAAGTGTTAATAGTGAAACAGAAAAAAACATTTTTATCTCCAGCGCGCGAGTCTGTGTATCGGAAATTCTAAAGATAATCTCATTTTAAAATTATTTTGCGATATTGCTCTTGAAATGAATTTTATGGGTTAAGTGAGAAGAACATGATATTTAATAAATATAGGTAACGCACAAGATGTTAAAAAAACGGCCCTTTGGATGTAATTTCAAATTTGAAACCTTTCAGATTTTTTTTAAAAACTTTTTTGATCTGTAGATTTTAAACATAGCAAAATGCAACTTTCCTGCATTGGCAGCTACAAACCATAATAGAATTTTTACATCGTAAAGACATTTTCTTTGCACCAGAATTGAAGAACAGATCTTTGAACCTAACAGGCAAGGTATACATGTCCTCCCTCTCGTCTTTGCTCTCTTAATATGTCTTTTATACGTTCCAAATGGGATGGAGGGGGGGGGGGGGATCCCATAAAAACTCAGACGCTTTTAGCGCGATTGAAGTCATAGCCACTTTTGTCCCCTAGAAACCAATTTCCGTAGAGTAAAGTGAACATATGGCGAATTTTTTTTTTTTTTTTTCGTTGGAATTTGCTTTGTATTTGGAGATCATTTTTTCCCTTCCAAAAACGTTGGTGACAAAATTCACTGCAGCAGTAAAATCCTTTCTGCATTCACGTCAGCGAAAACCATTACTCATTGGGGTTACAGAAATGGCTGGACAAAGGGTGTGGAAACACAAACGTCAACTGATCGGGAGTTTTGTCTCAGAATTATTACAAGTAATAAAATTGAGTACGCCGTTTCAGATGTAATATCATAATTACAAAAGTTACATCTTACGAAATTATTAGGACATCTGAATAAAATCTCGACTTGTTTTTGTTCTACGTAACACATAGTTAACCTTAAAAAGTATTTACGAATTCTCTTTAAAATACAGTGGACGATCCTTAATTCGAGCTTAAAGGTTCTCTGAAAAAGAGTTCGAACTATCCGATGTTAAGAGAACATATACATTTAAAAGTGTATGACTAAAAAGGAAAACTCTTCTAGCATGTATCATAAGCTATTTTCCCCCTCCTTTCTGCATGCCTTCGTGGTGTAACGATTACCACACTCGGCACGTATTCGAGAGGTCCAGGTGCGAGGCCATTGCTCATTTTTCACTTTTACAGCATCAAAATAACCTAATTACACTACAGTGGTGCCCGAACTAAAGGGTAATGGATGATGATTCTTCACCTCTAGGATTTGGCGATTGGTTCTCTTAATCCCCAGTCGCCCTTCAAATGGGAAAGTATATAAGGTATTTTCTCCCTCCTTTTCCGCATGCCTTCTTGGTGTAACAGTTAGCACACTCGGCGCATATTCGAGTCCCGGGGAAGGCATTGCTCATTTTCCGTGTTTCTTACTCCAAAACTCCTAATGACACTACAGTATACCCCAGAACATATATTATACTATGCTATCTTAATTTAAACATATTAAAAACGAATAAGGACAGCAGAAGTAATGTATATTTTTACTTATATATAGTAGATATATTTACTTGCACATATATTTGTAGAATGCCTTACGTAGCTTTACAGCATTTTGTGTCTTGAAATTTTGCGACTTTAAGTTTTTAAAATAATTTTGATAACAATAGGCAGACCAAATCGCAATAAATTTCTGATGTTATTTTGTCCCATCTTTAAATACAGGATGTCTACAAATATAAAACTCTATTTAAAAGACACCTAGAAACGAAACTAGTGATCAGAAAATTGTGAAATCTTGTGGCAGACTTAATGAAGGATGAGAAATTCTTTCAGCGAAAAAAAAAAAAAAAAAAAAAAAAGAATTAGTTACTAATAGCGTCACCAGAGGACGTTTTACTTTTAAAACCTGTAGTAAAAATGTAAATCTTTGTTAACGTCATCCAGCAGCTGTTATGAAACCTACAAATATTCACGGAGACTTTATTTTCAATGTACTTGTTACTCACAATGACGATCAGTTTACGAAACAGCGCTTTGTTACTAAAATTGTTTTACCAAAACAGTAATTCCTCAGTAGCTGGATTACAGAAATTTCGGACTTTGAAAAGGATTGTAAGAGGTCCAATGAATGTTAAAAAGAAACTTCGGAAAATAATAGGCTCAGTTAGGTTAGGTATAAGTGCAGGGGTCACCTATTATTTACCCTAAGTAAGAAGGTATAGGCCTCTTACACTAGCTATCCAGAGTTATAACACCTTCCTGGGGCTCACGGTACCATTATGGTGCTGATGTGCTGCGGTTTGCATAATGATTAGGGTGGGATCACCTTGTGTTGCCAGAGTTCTAGGCGCTCTTTTGATGCCAGAATATCCATTATTTGGGTTATACGCTTCTTCATATGGCTATTACTGATTGCACATTTGGCGTACAGAATCTCATCTTGTTCTAGTCTTCAGGTCTCTTCAGTTGCAGACCTGTTGTTATGATGCTTGTAAGCAGGTTGTTATGATGCTTGTGAACAGGTTGTTATGATGCTTGTGAACAAGAAAGGTAATGAACAGGCATCCAGAGCCAATAAGGTAATGCTGTGGATCGCTCCCCTCCCCACATACGCATAGGTCTAAGTGGGCGAGATTCCTCTTGAAGAAATGGGGGGGGGAAGGGCCATGGCCTGAAATCAGCCATGTTATTTGTCTACTGACGACGTTTGGGGGTGGCGTTTATTCTTGCATATAGGTGGCATGTGCACCTGCTCTGCTCCGCGGAATCCCACCAATGTTGCCATACTTTTTGAAATGTATTTTTAGTTCCATCATGAGGTGGAAGTTTGGACATGGAACTGAAAATGATAACGAAATTTGAAGAAATATGATCGTTTGTTTTCTGTTCGTCCTGGATGAGGAAGAAACCTTATTTCTGCAGAATCAGTACAGGAGGTTGCGCTTCAGGTCGTCGAAGACACAGCTTCGAGCTTTCAGGCTAGCTCCAATGTTCGACTTGTAGCAGAGGCGCTGGATAGAAGACCTTCAACTGAGGAAAATGCCACCTTGAAATTTTAGATGGTAGCTGAAAATGATGACCATCATGCGGAATATTTTTTCCTGATAACAAAATTTGTAAAATTTTAAAACGACTGTTAAGATGTGGCTAAATGTATAATTTATTAATATAACTCCGATGAGGCTATTATAACTATTTTTTTCGCTGAAAGACATTTTCACACTTTCATTTAGTCCGCCACAAAATTTCACAATTCTCTAATCACTGGTTTCGCTTGTAGATGACTTTGAAATAGGTTTCTTTAATTATGAACACCATGTACATTTGGAATTGGCCAGAATCTCATGATAATAATTGCATTACCAGATTAATTCATCTCGTTGAATGATTTAACTAAACTAATGGTTTTTAGATAATGTAAAATTGTACGCCTACTCGCTGAGTTTTCTGTGACACGTTATTATACTCTCACGTCTTTAAGCTGGTAAAATCGTAATAAAAAAAGCGACATGTTTCCAACAACCTGTAGTTTTGAAATTCAAGACTACGTGTTTCATTTTTTTTTTCTTGGCTGTCTGGTAATTTTATTTTCCCCCTTTCTGCTCCACCCTACGTTGCGTGAATACGTTGCGTGATCCACGGTTCAGAAACCACGTATAAAAAAGATTAATCGCGTAGAAAATAATATAGTTACTTTTATTATTTTTATTTTCCTTGTTTCATTGCTACTCATAAAATGATTTTTTTAAGGACATACATTTAATAAAATTCTTTTTCTTGCAGGTGGACATATTCATGTAGTTGCTGACACCGACATTAAAAAGAAAAGAAAAGATATTTCTGCATCACTCGTGTCAAGATTTATTTTTTGCGAGTATGAAATTGCTATTGATGGAAGAAATTTAAGAATTTGTTTTGTAGCTAAAATATGACTTCTTTAAACCTTACAGCAGAAAAATGACTTTTCTTTAAAAAACTGATAAAGGAATTAACTATCAATATTCATAGCCGTAAAAAAGCTTTATGATTAAAATAGCTTTAAATTCTTCTGCTTCATTGTATCCCCAACACCTATCTTCAAATGTTTTATATAAAATTTAAAGTTCTGGTTTCGAAATTATAATGTCACAGAAAGAAACTTTTGAACTAACTTTACTATATCAATGCATCTTTTATAATACATACAATATATGCATGCAGAAATTAAACGTATTATTTAGCTAAATTTAAAGTAAAACCTAAAAAATAACATTTATACGTTATCGCAAAATTTTTATGAAATTACTTTTTGAATTACACAGTTTCTCCGAAATGTCATAATGCATAAAGGAAGATAAAATAAGGTAGTAAACTAGAAAAAATAATCTCTTTCTTATCAGATGAAACCTTGATGCCTTCAAATGAATTTTAGCTCTGTTTTTACCGTTATTTTTCACAACAAAATCAAAATTATAAAAATATTAGACACAATCTCCAAAGTAATTTTTTGGAGATACCTTTAATTTTATTTCAAAATAGAAAATATATGAATATCGATTAAAGAAGTACCGACGTATATATTTATTCTACAACAAAGCTATGTCTTTTCAGACAGTACGAAAATTTTGTCTTGTGCACATACAGTTAAGATGAAAATTAGCGAATTAGGGCCACATAAAACAAGACAATGACAGTCCATCAAATATAGAACTATTTAACATCTTGAATAAATTAAATACCTAAAATGAACTTGGACGCAGAGAATAGGGTAGTCCTAAACGTGGGAGGAATCCGACACGAGACCTACAAAGCCACTCTCAAAAAAATTCCAGCCACGAGATTGTCTAGATTAACAGAAGCGTTGGCCAACTACGATCCCGTCTTGAACGAGTACTTCTTTGATCGCCATCCTGGTGTTTTCGCCCAGATTCTTAACTACTACCGATCTGGCAAGTTGCATTATCCCACCGACGTCTGTGGACCACTATTTGAAGAAGAACTCGAGTTCTGGGGCTTGGATTCCAACCAAGTCGAACCTTGTTGTTGGATGACTTACACTCAGCACAGAGATACAAAAGAGACTTTAGCAGTATTGGACCAACTAGATTTGGACACGGATAAGCCAAGTGATGAAGAAATTGCACTCAAGTTTGGAATGGAAGAGGAATTTCGGGCAGGAACTCTATCTTGCTGGCAAAAGATCAAACCTCGAATGTGGGCGCTATTTGATGAGCCCTATTCGTCAACTCCTGCTAAGGTGAGTACAGTTTCACTTTATCTCTCAAATAAGTTTTTTCTCATGTCGGTCCTCAGCCGACTTCGGCTTGGCCATAAATAAGACCAGATGTGGTGGTCACTTTATTATGGAAGCACCGAATAGGTGGGCCACTTTTGCCTCCTAAGAAGAAACGGACATTTACAACTATGCCTTCTACAGGATTCGGACCCGGGCCGTTCAATATCGCAGTCGGCTGCTCTAACCACTATACCATCTGGACGGTTTCTCTCAAATATAAGACAATATCTTTCATTACTTGCTAGAAATTATAATGGCCACTTACCAAAATGGCAGACCAAACATACCGGCGCTTTAAGGGGACTCATACACCTTAAACCCCTCATGATCTTTGAATATGTGACTGTTGCAAGAATTGGGATATTTTATTTATTTTAAAAGCAATTACTTCCAACTTTTTACTGATGACTACATAATATAGCTGCTTTGGAAATTAGTAACCAGAAAGTTTGTGTTGCCACAAATATTTTTGTAATTTAATCCGCTTTGTGACAAAATATTTCGTAATCTTTCCACTATGCGCGCATGATAATTTAAAAAATGGCTAATGGTACGTACTTGAAATTTCATAGAATTTTTTATATGGGCAGTATTTTCTAACTGAACCAAAATTTTGATGAATATTTTAGTATTAAAAAATTTATGCACGAAAACATTAAAATTTTTTTAAAAAAAAATACATTTTATAAACTCAACTCCAAATAAAATAAAAATTTAACATGAAATTCTTAGAATTTTAGGTTCACATTAGTTTCCAAATGTTATAAAAGGTATATATTAAATATGGAATTAAATTATGCAACAGAATGGTTTAAACTGTGCGCGCAAGGTGGAAACATGACGAAAAATTTTGTCACAAAGCGGATTAAATTATAAAAATATTTGTGGCAACACAAACTTTCTGATGACTATTTCAGAAAGCAGCTATATTATGTAGTCAGCTGTAAAAAGTTGGTAGTAATTGCTTTTAAAATAAATAAGTTATCCTAATTCTTGCAACAGTCACCTATTCGAATATCTTATGGGTTTTAAGGTGTATGAGTCCCCTTAAGAAATTTATTTAAGGCACAGAAAATTGTTTCTCCTGTAGCATGAACGTGCATTTCATAATACAGAATCTTCTAGGTTCATTCTTCAATACTTAAGTTAATTATAGAATTCTATGTACCTAATTTCTGATTTTTTGCTGTACAGCATTATTAGCATCTCACTATATTTCGTATTTATATGTCCATAGAATTTCTATTATTTTCTGTCAGTAATCTTGACTGAATCTTCAATAGAAAATTTTAACGGATTACCAAATTTAAAAAATTTTGATTTATTTGCTGGTTCTACCATTTCTTCAATAATGTCTGTAGCTGTATGAAATTTCCTAATAATTTGCTACAATTTCTTATTTGACTATATTAATATCCGAAAGAAGAAAAAAATACTAACTTATTCATAATCATCAACTGAGATATATTATGCGGTTTTTAGCTTAGCAATAAACAAAATCTAGTATTAGTATCTAGACTTACTGACAGTATAGTGGTTAGGAGAGCCAACTGCGATACCAAAGGGCCCGGGCTGGAGTGTCAGAAAAGGCATGGTTGAAACTGTCCGTCCCTATATCGAAGATAACAGTGGCCGCCTATTAGGTGCTTCTACAACAAAATGTCTATCCCTTCTGGCCTTAGGAATGCCCGCCATTCGATATAAAAAAAGATTTATTGGGTATTAGTTATTGGATTCAGAAACTATCTGGGAATCTGATAATATCTAGACGCCCTGTCAGCTCACTGAATTATTATCCTCTGGTAGTCTTTGCCAAGTTCATAGTTATTTCCTCATTAAAAGATTCTTAACATACTTTAAAACCTTGTTTTGGTAAATTCTTTTTCTTTATTTGATAGAACAGCAGAAAGTGTATGGAATCCATGCCTTAATATTGCTTCTTAATACGAGCCTTGCTTTTAACTTTATATTTTAATCTGATTTTCGTTTTGATAATTAAAATAGTCAAGTGTTCCTTAAATCTGCTTAGGAAGGACAATATTCTGTCCTGAAAATTCCTCCGTTGTTTTTATTGAAAACCAGAAAAATATATGCAATTAAGAGATTAACAAGAAAATTTGGTAATTATATGCAACTTTCAAATGAAAGGGTAGTTAGATATGTGTTGCTAATGAAGTTTTCCTTACCTGAAGCATCAGAAGCAACACAAACCTCCTAAAAAAGTACGAATTTCGGAGAGCTTAGGACGAAAAGTGATAAACCAATTTTATAAAACCAATCAAACGTAAAAAAAAAAAAAAAAAAAAAAAAAAAATGTTAAATATAATAAGATATATAAGATAAATAATAAGATATAAGATAAAGAATGTTTGTGACATTAACCGAAGATTTCTAAACGAGCTTTGTTTCAAGAAAAGCAAATATATCAGTTTCTATAGCTTTAACATGTATTAACTAAGTTTTTATTGGTGATACATATAATTCCTGTTTTTTTTTTAAACCTTCCAGCACGCGCGCTTGGCAATTTTACATGTGCACGCGCGCGTCGTAATTTTTACGGCATCCGTTATTTTACCATTTTTGGCACGAAAAACGACAGAAATGAGTGAATATTGATAATAAATTTGTTAAGAAATAAAATATTAATCTTATTATTGCAAAATCCAAATGATATGACATTCAAATGTAAGTAAATTATTTTTAAGTTCTTATGTTAGTGAGATGGAAATGCAATGATGTATTTCATTATAAAATATTTTTAATTTATTATTTAATTATATTTTTTAATCGAAGCTAATTTAAAATTTCATCAAAGGCAAGTAGAGACAAATAAAAAAGGAAAACACCTTGGTAGGAAAAAAAAGTAAGCTTAGCATTACATACTTCTGCAAGGAAATTTACTTCTAACTGGTTACAAAAAAGCACTTTAAACTAACTTTAATATTTTTATTTATTTCTAAAAACAGAAATAATAAACAGAAATCAAATATTTATTTTCTTTTATTTCTAAAAACAAAAATAAAAGAGAATAAGTAATGGAAATCGCTATTGTTCTCCCATCCAAAGGTTTCCTTGTCTTCCTTTTCTTCATCAGATAATTCCTGAAGAATTCGAGCAAAATTAGCTTGTTGCACATATTTTTTTTTTTTTGACATGAAAACCGATATAAAATTTGCAGAGCCAAATGTATTCAAATTAAAATAATACACGACAATTAATAACAAAAAATTACAAAATGTTTGTGAAAAAAATATTTTCCAAATTTTCTCCCACGACCACGCGTGTGTCGTAACTTTTACAAAAAATCTGCCACGTAGCACAAAAGCCCAGTAATAAAACAAAAAATGTCATATTACTTCCTGTTGGCACATTCCATGATGTGGGGAAGGGTAGAAAGGAGGAATAGAAATGACATTCAGCCGTCTCAGCTTCGATATGCAAAAAAATATGCATTAAAAACTAAATTTTTCGTAAATTTTGCGCATCCGCGCGTGCTGGAAGGTCAAAGATACTTTTCTAAAAATTAATATATTTTTTTATTTTTTTTTTATTTTCAAACCATGTTTCTTGCAAATTATGTCGATACATAATTACATGACATTTGCGTACTCAAGTATATCACAGAAGCAGGAAAAAAAGGGGGTGTAAATCCATCTTAGTAAGAAAACTGAACTGAGAAAAGACAAAAAAAAATATGAAAGCCTTCAGATTTTGTAATGAGCTCAAAGGGGCATTTATTTTATTTATTTATTTTATTTATTAATTTTTTTCATTTACAAACGCATATATTTTCAAGAACAGTTTCGAGAGCATTTGGGCTTACCCCCGTTTAGGCTAAAAAATATTTAAAAAAGGCATATCTTTAGAATTTCCGATAGACAGTTTTGCGCGCTGGAGATAAAATTTTATTCCGTGCAATGTTACAGTTTCTCTCTTTGATATCTTCGAGTTTTTTAATCAAAAATTTGTTAAAGTTTTTCAAAATATGAAATAAATAAACAGAAAACAAACCCGAAATTAAAATTCGGGCTTCCGGGTGCTCATATTCGGGTGGAAGACTAAGTTATTCAAAATTTAACAGCTCTAGGTATCGTTGGTTTTTCACTATGCGAGAAACATACATGCATTCAGAATTCAAATTCTTCATTCTTTAATTTCTGTAAATGTAATACAGGCCGATAATATTTGGTGGCAACAATTTGAAAAGTGATTCAAATCTTTTAGTAATTCGATGCGAAATGTCTTAGGCCTTCTAGGCGTCTTTGGCCTAAAAATAGTTATAAAGTTCCTTATAGTAAATTTGAATAAAACATTGTGCTTTTCATTAAGGGTGGATAAAGAGTTAAATAATAGTTTTGGCTCTTTGTGTGTTTACCAGTGATCCGACATGTTACCAAATAAACCAGTGGTATTGTTGATTGCTTATGGGTTCGTAACAGATTAAATGTACAAGTCCGATAAGAGGTTAATAAAATTTATTTTTATTAAAATAAATATTTCAAATGTCTGGAATTTTCCACAGAAATATTTGTATAAGAGTTCACGGTATCACACAGTATAGTAAGTAGTTACACTTCGAAAAACTAAGAACGTTAAACACAAGGCAAGGCAAAGTGCATCTAAAGAGAAAGATAACCTGGATTTACCTCACTTCACAAGGATTTACAACTCGCAACAACAATAACTAAGCCACTGAGAGCAGATTCTCTCTCTTCGGCCTTAAATAGTTTTTCAGTCGGCTGGCGAGATATTTCTAGTACTTTCTGCTTCTCGAAATTACTCGAAAGCAAATACAAGGACAGAATTAAGGTTACAGCTAACATAGTGGTCAATTACATTTATTCAATTTCAACACAAATTACCGGGATATTATGGTGATGCAGGAACGGAACCAAAATTTCGCCATATGGTCGCCAAAATTGGCGACTTTTGGAGATTTCTTGCAACATTACTGAAATATC